ACCTTCCCGCCGCAGTGGTACCTATTTATCTACTTGCACTTTGACGTGCTTTCGAACAGCTAGGTTGGCAAGAGCAGGGACCGAGCAACGGGAGCTCACCCCGTCGTAGGGATTCAAACCGCCGACCTTCTGATCGGCAAGCCCTAGGCTCTGTGGTTTAACCCACAGATCAAACATAATAAATGAATATTGCATGCTCCGAGTAACACAAATGGGTTTACAATATCCTGTCAGTGGTAGAGTATGTGGGTGGCACAGGGGCGGTTGCCCTGGGTGCAAGTTTGTTAGGGGCTCAACATTTCAACACCTGGTGCTGCCTCAGTAGAGCTGCACACTTCTTTTGCTGGATTCCATTGAAAACGGCTTCTCCATGAGAACCAGGAAGTGGCGTCTCCAGACAATGGAACGACTTTTCTTTTCTTATATCTATGGTTGCAGTCTCCTGGGTGACGTGGACGTCGTTAGGCAGTTGAATGTGCCTGTGTGCTCCAGGTATATGGCCCCAGGCCCTGGCAACCCACGCTACACCACTGTATCCTATGCCTTATTATTCCAGTATGTTAAAGACATTTCTCAATAAAGATGCTATCTTGTGGCCTGACCTCTCTGGTTCTCACCATACGTGTAAGCTTGACTGTGCATGCTATGTCCCAGACCTCAGTTAGCCATTCTTTTGTAGATGGTTTTCTCCTTCTTCCCCCACCCTCACCCCAGTTTTAACAAATAATTCCGGCAGCAGCTAAGAGGTGTGGTATTAATTCCCTGCCCTCTTTTAGTGCAGTTTCTTTAATACATCCAAATAGTAACTGGGCCAGTTGTTACTTCAATTTCCATTACTATTTTTTGTTTTTTTAAAAACGTCTTGTCTGTGGGTTTTTGTTCCCAAGCCGTTTGGCGCAGTAAGGATGCACCAATCGCCACTCATCCTCTAGCAGCAGCCAAAGGAATTTATTTGTTGCCACCGTCCTCCTTGGCACCTTCTCTGTGTATATCAACTTGCCCCTTCTCTGAACTGACTCCCCATAATTCAGCTGCACAGTCACTGTTTTTCCAGCCAGATTCTCCTCGCTTCTGTGTGCGCAAAAGCAAGCAGGATATTTAGTGCCCTGTGCCCTTGAAGGGAGATTTTGATTATGGCCAGTTTATACAACCATGGATCAAAGTGTTCCCCACTACAACAGCTATAGGTGGTGTTGCAGAAAAAAGGGTGTTTGGATGATTCTCTGGGGATCTCAAACCATTTGTCTGTCTGTTTGATTGTTTGTTTGGTTATTTGTTATACAAATATTTATATCCTGTCTTTCACACAAAAAAAGATCAGCTCAGTTTACAATCATTATACATAAAACCATACAATAAAAACTGTATCAAATATTAATATCAAAACTAATATTTCAGGTTTTTTACATTTTATTTTCGTTTCCTGTTAATTACGTTGCTTTGAACATAGACTATATATTTGATTTCCTTCAGTAATGTTTTGTTCTGGATTGTTTTATTTGATGTTTTAATGTGTTGCAAAAAGCCTTTGAGATTTTTTCCCCCTTAAAAATATAAAGCGGTACAGAAACGAAATGAATAATAAACATAATAATATAAAGAAAGTTAAAATCATGAATCAGATAACTGTTGTGGAAAGATGTATTCTGAACTACCTGCATAAGTCTGACTGACCAGGAGAAGTTTTAAGCAGGTGTTGGAAGAGAAGTTGCCTGTTGTCTCTCTCTTGGCAGAGTGTTCCACAGGACTGGGCCAATGATACTGAAAGCTGGGTTTCTTGCTGTTGTCAAGGGAGTCTTGCTAATATGGGAAACGGCTAACGATGCTCCTGCAGGTGATCACAGAGATCGATCTGGGATGGGAGGGTACAGGCAGTCCAGAAAGAACTCTGGACCTAAGCTGTTCAGGACTTTGCAAATTACTACAACATTTAGGAATCGGTCAGATTCTCTAGGAGTCAGTTTAAAATGTGGGAAGGCCAGAGAGGCAAAAGCATGCCAGCAAAAGGGTCTGTTCCTAATGGTGTGATCCAGTCTCTTTCCACTGCCCACCACGAGCACACAGTATTTAACTGAGAGCCTCTAGGAGGAGGAATGTATTCAGTACCAGGGTGAAACTGTCAAGCTCCCTTGTTATTTTCACTATTGCCAGGGTGTGTAATGTTCGCATTGTAGTGCTGTTGCATTTATAGTGCTAAAATCTTGGTTTTTGTATGTTGCTATGTTTCCTGTTGCATTGTGGTTTTACTAAGTTATTACAAAACTCTTCGGTTTTTGAGATGCATTCCTGTTTGCTTTGTGGCAACCTCCTTTGATCATGTTTCTTTTTATGGAAAGGCAGCATACAAATAAAATTATGAATGGGTGAACAATCCTGTTTTATAGTGCCCTCCAGATGTTTCTGGCTGCCAGTCCCAGGAATGATGGGAGTTGTGGTCCAGAACACCTGGAACACACCAGGTCGGTGTTACTGCTTACATTTTTGCCCTCTGTAAACAGCTCGTAAAATAACAGGCTGCCTTGTGCTCCTTTTATCATACAAAGGCACGGAACAAGGACTTTTGGCATGTGCAGCTGCTGGTTCCTTCTTCTACACAGCTATTAAAGGTGGGGAGAAGGGGGGGCAGTGTCCTTTGCATTCTATCCATCCTCCAAAGCAAAGAGTGACACCATTAAAAACATTCCACATTTTGAAAGCCCTGTAATAGCACCTCTGGACTATTGCACCATTAGCGAAGGTCCAGTGAGCGCTGCACTCATGACAAAAGGGGGTGTGGAGCTGGAATTCAAGGTCAGCTCCCTTAATAGCTTCGTTCCTGTTTCTGTAGTTAATATGTAAGTACTTGGAAATGCAGCTATATATCCATTTCCCTTCCCTGTAATAAAAACAACTACCTCACCACAACTCCTTTCTGTGTTCACAGTTGACGGGGTCCTGAAAGTCCAGTTTGCAGCCCATAAAAATCCCATTAAACTAAGTGGGGGACACACACACAGACACGAACACCCTACTGTATTGGGATGGGATGTGGGTGGCGCTGTGGTCTAAACCACTGAGCCTCTTCGGCTTGCTAATCAGAAGGTCAGCGGTTCAAATCCCTGTGATGGGGTGAGCTCCTGTTGCTCTGTCCCAGCTCCTGCCAACCTAGCAGTTTGAAAGCATGTCAAAGTACAAGGAGATAAATAGGTACCACTGTGGCAGGAAGGTAAACCGCATTCCATTCACTCTGGTTTCTGTCACAGTGTTCTGTTGCACCAGAAGCAGTTTAGTCCTGCTGGCCACATGACCAAGAAAGCTGTCTGTGGACAAACGCCAGCTCCCTCAGCTTGAAAGTGAGATGAGCGCCCCAACCCCATAGTTGCCTTTGACTGAACTTACCTGTCCAGGAGTCCTTTACCTTTTTTACCTTTACTGTATTGGGAAACTGAGCAAGGAGATCTTGAAAGCCTCCACCGTATTTGTGGGTGAAGACACTGGGGAGACCCATTTTACTGAATTTCTACAGGGCAGGGTTGACGTGCCTGTACTCTGCCCTCACTAAAACAAAAACCAAACTGACTGTGTAAAAGGCTGCCCTTTGTGATTTATGCTGCTTTGGAAAGTCAGAAGCAAAAAAGTATTTTCAGGGCTTGTTCTGTATCTCTGCTCTCAACATGTTTGCATTGCAATACCATTCAGTGGGCACATTACTGGGAAGCAACAGAACATCATGTTATCTCCTTTATCGTAACAGAAAAATCCATAGGCAGAAGGTTCAGAAACAAAATGCATCCATTTATGAGAGTGGGTTATTTTCTCCTCAGATTCTCCAGATGAAAATAAGAGTTTTATGTTTTCTCTGCAGCTCCCATGGGAATAATTATTGATTGCTGTGATTTTCTAACGTGCCATATATATAATCCACAATTTGTCCTTGGAGTTGCCCAGCCGAGAAGGTTCCTGGCACAGAGCAGCCTTTAAAAAAAAACAACTGAGGGATTTTAAAGTAAACAAAGGAAGACATATCAATTCCAAGTGCCTATAGCAAAGCGGAGATGGAAGCCATAAATATTTATGCATCCTTTTATTATACTGTATATAGATACACACACACACACACACACACACACACACACAATTGAGCATGTGCATACATATATATATTTGTTAAAGAAAGTCTGTGAAAGGAGAAATTGAAATTTAAACTTTATGAGAAAATCTCTAGGTGAAATGTGCTCTGTAAAACCAGATATTGCAAAACTTAAAAAGCATTGTCCAGTCTTCTCTTCAGCTCAGGCAATTGACAAACGCAGCCGAGCTGCATAATTTCTTCCTTGCTGTCTTTTAAGATCAATAGCACAAACCTGCATATATATATATATATGTGTGTGTTTTTTAATTTCAAAGGCTCTCTTTATTTCATTTCTCAAAAGGAAAGAGATCCGCAAAATGTCTTGGACATCTTACAAGCATATATCAATAAAGAATAAATTGCACCTGAATGATGGCAAAATCCAAAACCATATGCTCAGGGACGCAGTCTATTCACTTGTAATTAAATTTTTACAAAGTGACTTTTTTATTCTTCTGTACTTTTGAGACTTCTTTAACCCAAGTAAATAGCTTCGAGAACCTTAGCATATTGATGGTGTTTGATTCATTTTAGGGCATGATGGGGGATGTTTTTATATATCACAAACTCAATCCTGAATCGGCCTATTTGAGCACCAGCGTCTGGGTGTGAGGATGCATACAAAGATATATGTATAAACCAGGACTGAGCAAGACATTTCTTTTCAAGAAAGTTGTTGGCAATGTTGAAAAACACCCCCTTTTATGATTTCCAACAAAACATCCAGCTGCTTGCTTACATTCGTCTGTTGCTTTCTCAACTGATTTAAATTTGCCACAATGACATCATAGAACCAAACGTGACTGGCAATGCAGTGTTGTGATGTCACCCACTTCGCTGTGTGATCCCTGGTTGTGTGAGATCAGCTGTGGGACTATCTGAAGGAACACGGCCTTTACTCGCCATTGTCCTTGTTTCCCGTCAGTGACATCATCACACGCCCAAGTCTGATTGACATAGGCTCATTCACTCCATGATCTCTGCTTGGCTCTGCATGTGAAGGAGGGAGCTGAATCTCCACGCAAAGCAATTTGCGGGGAAATATATCCACGCCACCAAACAACTGCTTACAACCTGGGCATTGAAAATGGAGAACATTCAGCACACATTTATACTATATATATAAAAGGTAAAGGTACCCCTGCCCGTACGGGCCAGTCTTGACAGACTCTAGGGTTGCGCGCTCATCTCACTCTAGAGGCCGGGAGCCAGCGCTGTCCGCAGACACTTCCTGGCCACGTGGCCAGCGTGACGAAGCTGCTCCGGCGAACCGGCACCAGAGCAGCACACGGAACGCCGTTTACCTTCCCGCTAGAAAGCGGTACCTATTTATCTACTTGCACTTAATTGTGCTTTCAAACTGCTAGGTGGGCAGGAGCTGGGACAGAACGACGGGAGCTTACCCCGCCGCGGGGATTCGAACCGCCGACCATGCGATCGGCAAGTCCTAGGCGCTGAGGTTTTACCCACAGCGCCACCCGCGTCCAATACTATATATATATATATGTATGCAATTTCAAGTGTTCTACCCAACCAACACACAGGTGAGCCAAATTAGTGTGTATATATGCCCATAGGCTCTTCATCAAAAAGGTATGTTTACCATCATGATGTTCAATGTAATTCAACACCTTATAGGTGTTAATAGCAGGGGTGTAGGAAGGGGGGCGGTTGGGGCGGCTCGCCCTGGGTGTCATCCCTGAGGGGGGTGACAGAATCCCTCCTGGGCAGATCACTGCCGTGCCAATCGCCCCGCCCCCCCGACAGATCACCCCACCCCAAGGTGCATGGCATGTGTGCCGCTCCAGGAGCCCGAGCGGCTAGCTCCGCCACTGGTTAATAATAATAATAATAATAATAATAATAATAATAATTTATTATTTATACCCCGCCCATCTGGCTGGGCTTCCCCGGCCACTCTGGGCGGCTTCCAAAAGAATATTAAAATACTATAATACATCAAACATTAAAAGCTTCCCGAAACAGGGCTGCCTTCAGATGTCTTCTAAAAGCCTGGTAGTTGTTGTTCTCTTTGACATCTGGTGGGAGGGTGTTCCACAGGGAAGGCGCCACTACCGAGAAGGCCCTCTGCCTGGTTCCCTCAGTGCTGGACCTCAGTGTCCGGGTAGAACGATGGGGGTGGAGACGCTCCTTCAGATATACTGGACCAAGGCCGTTTAGGGCTTTAAAGGTCAGCACCAACACTTTGAATTGTGCTCGGAAACGTACGGGGAGCCAATGTAGGTCTTTCAAGACCGGTGTTATGTGGTCTCTGCGGCCGCTCCCAGTCACCAGTCTAGCTGCCGCGTTCTGGATTAGTTGTAGTTTTCGGGTCACCTTCAAAGGTAGCCCCACGTAGAGCGCATTGCAGTAATCCAAGCGGGAGATAACCAGAGCATGCACCACTCTGGCGAGGCAGTCCGCAGGCAGATAGGGTCTCAGCCTGCGTACCAGATGGAGCTGGTAAACAGCTGCCCTGGACACAGATTTGACCTGTGCCTCCATGGACAGCTGTGAGTCCAAAATGATGTCTTATGTATCCTGTGGTCTGTGTTTGCCTTAGCTTGAGTCTGGACTATGGGTGTTCTGATTCGATACATGATATCCAATCACAGAACATTTCAGGATTTGGGCATCTGCCATTGGCCCTTAAACTCTGTGTCATGATTCGCAGCTTGGAAGTTTAGACAGCCAATCCCGTTGGGAGTGGGAGTGGTCCAGGCCTTCAGAAATGTATATAAGCAGTTGCTTTGCCCCTGTTGTCCAGTTCTGTTTGTTCAATAAAGGTTCGTGCTGTTATGACTGTGTCTTGCCTCGTGGGAACCTACCTACACTTCAAGATGTATCCTTGAAAGTGGCAGAATTAATAACTGAAGATAGGATGGGTCATTTTTGGATGACCAGAGGTCATTTGAGTTTGGCAGCAAGCACTTGCATGGAGGAAAACCCTTTATGACTGAAAGATATTAAACCAGTAGCCCATCTCTTCCAGCACCCTGTTCTCACAGTGGCCAACCAGATGCCCCAATAGGAAGGCTGCAAGCAAGACCTGAACACAAGAGCACTCCGCCCACCTACAACTCCCAGCAACTGAATCCCTGTGAACCTTCCTCTTTTTTAAAGTTTCCATGCATACAAACATACTGCCTTTCTGCATCATTAAGTATGCTTAATGTATTTGCACTGAGTAATATACAAATAACTTTTATTTCTGATGTTGTAAACGAAATCTGCCCCTTTTCCCTTACGGGGTATCCAAGAGCTCGTATAGAGTCCTTAAGTGGGTTCCCTATCAGTAGGAGAAAATAACAGAGGCCAACCAGAGAATGCAGTGGTACCTCAGTTAAGAACTTAATTAGTTCTGGAGGTCTGTTCTTAACCTGAAACTGTTCTTCACCTGAAGCACCACTTTAGCTAATGGGGCCTCCTGCTGCCACTGCGCCGCCGCTGCACGATTTCTGTTCTCATCCTGAAGCAAAGTTCTTAACCCGAAGTAATATTTCTGGGTTAGTGGAGTCTGTAACCTGAAGCATATGTAACCTGAAGCGTATGTAACCCGAGGTACCACTGTATTGAGAAGCAAAGCAGCTAGTAAGCCTAATCTTTATTAAACTTCTGCAACAGGGTCCTCACTCACCACATACCCTTACTTTTGAAATTGCCACCCTGTAGCTCAAGACACCGCCCCCCCAATACATCATACATACATCACAGAAGGGGTGGTCTACAGCAGAATCCTGCCTGGCAGGAAACCTGTTAATGGTCACTAATTGGATTACCTGGGCAGCCTGGCCATTCTTTTGTGATTGTTAATACTTTAGTTCCTGAATCCAGGTCACAGGCTCACCCTAATCATACCCAAATGTGCCCTTAAGGCAGGATTTGTGAGCACAGAGACAATGGGGAGGCTTTTCCCATTTCCATCCAAACTGCAGAGGAATATTTGAAGTCGATCTGGGAGAGTCAAAATGGTTTCAGGACTATTTTCCTGTACTGTTTCAGACATGTGGTTTATGTATTTATGTATGTGTTCGCCTTGTAAATTTATGAACATTTAATTTATATATTTGAGACCTTAAATTCTTATAACACTGGGAAATTGCTGTGATACGTGCACTCATAAGGTGATGCAGAGGTGAGTTTACTGCTCTTCCTGACACTTTTGAGATCTTTACACACACCACAGGAATGATGTGCAGCTACGTGTTCAGGAGATACATACCTCAAAAGAAACAAGAGTGGATTCTTGAAGGAGAGTTTTATGGCCACTAACATTTGCCATTATGACTGCCAGCGGAAATATTAGAGCACTTATGATTCAATGTAGTAACTGATCACCGCAGGAGTAAGGGCAAAGATTCTACTGCAATATTACTGTGGTATAAAACATCATACATCAAAAGACAAAAGGCAGAAATTCCCCCTCTGCATAACAGTATAACTGATGGATGAGAATCCGGAATGTTTTGTTTATTGGTTTATCTGACCTCTCTCTTGAAACATCAGTTTTAGGTGCGGCAAGACAGATATTGAACTTGTAAAAATGATCTTGCCCTGTGTTGCAAAATAAAATTAATTTGGAGGTCTGGGGTGGGGGTGGAATTGTGTGGGCTTGCTGGTACTTCGATCCAAGAACAATTTCCAAACCAAAACCCTTTCCCAGGTGAGCTACGCACCCACTGACTAATGGATACAGGCTGAGCCCAAGATATTTTGGTACCTGTGGCATAAAATCCAAAACTCTGCCCCCTTCTCACTAATTAACATGGGGCACAGTTCCTAGGAAGAGTCCTGGAAAAAGAGGAGGAACGAGTGAGGGAGCTGGGTATGTTTAGCCTGGAGAAGAAGAGACTGAGAGGAGATATGATAGCCATCTTCAAATATCAGTGTCCAGCCCGGACACTGAGGTCCAGCTCCGAGGGCCTTCTGGCAGTTCCCTTGCTGTGAGAAGTGAGGTTACAGGGAGAGGGCCTTCTCAATAGTGGCGCCTGCCCTATGGAACGCCCTCCCAGCAGATGTCAAGGCAATAAACAACTACCGTATTTTTTGCTCTATAAGACTCACTTTTTCTCTCCTAAAAAGTAAGGGGAAGTGTGTGTGCGTCTTATGGAGCGAACGCAGGCTGCGCAGCTATCCCAGAAGCCAGAACAACAAGAGGGATCACTGCTTTCATTGTGCAGTGATCCCTCTTGTTGTTCTGGCTTCTGAGATTCAGAATATTTTTTTTCTTCTTTTCCTCCTCCAAAAACTAGGTGCGTCTTATGGTCTGGTGCGTCTTATAGAGCGAAAAATACGGTATTTTACTTTTAAAAGACAACTGAAGGCGGCCCTGTTTAGGGAAGTTTTTAATGCCTGACACTGTATTGTTTTTAATATTTGGTTGGAAGCCGCCCAGAGCGGCTGGGGAAACCCAGCCAGATGGGCGGGGTATAAATATTATTATTATTATTATTATTATTATTATTATTATTATATCTCAGGGGCTGTCTCATGGAAGATGGAGCAAGCTTGTTTTCTTCTTTTCAAGAAGAGAAAACCAATGGCATCAAGTTACAAAAAAGGAGGTTCTGTCTAAACATCAGAAAAACTTTCTGACGGTAAGAGCTGTTCAACAGTAGAATGGATATGCACGTGTCGTGTATGCTTTAGTTGAGATTCCTGCATTACATTTGACTAGAAGACTCTCAGGATCCCTTCCAACTCTACAATTCCATGATCCTATGTGTCAGAGCTTCACCCAAGCTGAAATGACCCCTCCCTCTATTTTCTTGGTGAAGGGAGAAATGTTCACTGTTTGGGAGAGGGGAGGGTGGGCAAAATTGGAACAAAGCAAGATGGCATCCCAGCAACATCTCCTTTTGTTCCCTCAGAAGAAGAAAAAACCCTTTGAAGAATGGACCCTTTGAAGCCCATGTCATTGAAAGACTCTGCAACTACCCCTCATTAAGATCGGGGATAATAAAGTGTTGTTAGTAGTTCCAAGGTCAAACCACAGTTCCTGCTATGATAATAGAAGTGAGGAGCACATTACCTTGTCAAGTTAATACAGTGTGATAGACTTTCTCAGGCAGCACATCCAGAAAGACTGTAAACGTCTAATAGATTTAGGGAAACTGTACCTCAGGGGACATATTAGAAAGAAGCCATCAATGGATCAAATTGCTCACTGAGTATTACTTATTGGGGACCAGCATGGTTTTAAATGATTGCTCTCTTATCAAAAGCCCGGAGACAAATTGCATGCCTTAGATTAACTTTGCAAGAGCAGGTCAATAATTTATATTGGATAGCGTGCCGCGCTTTCAAGGGGGTTGGGCTCCTTGCCTCCCCCTAAACAGTAGCATGGGCAAGCCATGTAATTTCAAATGCTGTAATTATGTTCTGGGGAGTATTTTTGCCAAATGATTTTCAAATTACTTAATATGCTGTTTATCCTCTGTCATTCTTTAGAGATGAAATTGGTCATATCTGCAAAGTCTCAGAGGCGCTTGCCTCTAATGACAAAACAACTTTAATTATAAAACATGTTTATGGGAGGTTTGCATTAATCAAACAACTCCAGCAAAGTGAAAAGGATGCTCAAATGTTTGGAGGCCTCTAAAACATATGCCAGTTGTGGGGTTTTGGTTTTTTTAATCCATAGAGATACAAACTGTAGGACAATATTTAGAATAACTGAATTTTAGAATTCAGAATCATCCCTTATACCCCTAATGCAATTCAGCTTATAGTGGGCTGGCTTGGAGATGAAAATGTGACCCACAAAATTCCCTATTCGAATCCCATTTCTGCTGCTTCCAGGCCTGGTAAGATTGAGTACATGGAACAGCTAATAATGAGAGCAGTTATTAAGTGAATAAATGCTGCCTGCGTGATACAAGATAAAGAACCATGGATGTCCAGTGGAGCTGAATGTTGGAAGATTCAGGACAGATTTTAAAAAGTCCTTCTTCACACAGAGCATACTTAACCTATGGAACTTATAGAATCATAGAATTGTAGAATTGGAAGGGATCAAACCCACAGGGCTGCAGCCTTGGCCTTATCAGCACCACTCTCTAACCAACAGCAGCTAAGATGCACAATTGGGGAAGGGTCTGCCAAAGCCTCTTCTTTCTACTCCAGCAGAGAGAGGGCTAAAGGGCATTTGAGCTGCATCTGGCCTGGGTGGGAGCCAGGACACAAAGTCACTGCTTCTTCTGCCCTTGCCACGTTTGGAATATGGCCCCTGAAGTCCCCAGAGAGGGGCTGTTGGCTCTCTAAGTGCGATTACCTGGAGGAAAACAGGCATGAGAAGAGTCTGGACCAGAACGACCAGCATGTTCACAATCTCGATGAAGGCCGGTGTCTGGCAGAAGTACATCATGTCTGCTGTGATGTGGAAAGCATCAAAGAAAGAGTCTTATTAAGCCTTGATAGGATCACGTGAAGCCGGCCATTATGATGTCCAGGGGCGCATCTACTATGAAACTGATGAAGCTTAAGCTTCAGGACCCATAACCCTGAAGGGGCCCCAGAAACATCTTTAGTCCACAATGCTTTAAAAAAAATGGGTCTAGTTCACCCAATTTGAGTTGCACAGCTCAAATTGATTAATTATTTTCTGTATCTGTTTCAATGATCCCAAAATATGAGAGTCAGCAGCATCAGTGTTTTAACCTATCCATTCTGAAGGAAATCAGCCCTGAGTGCTCACTGGAAGGACAGATCCTGAAGCTGAGGCTCCAATACTTTGGCCATGAGAAGAGAAGACTCCCTGGAAAAGACCCTGATGTTGGGAAAGATGGAGGGCACAAGGAGAAGGGGACGACAGAGGCCGAGATGGTTGGACAGTGTTCTCGAAGCTACCAACATGAGTTTGACCAAACTGCGGGAGGCAGTGGAAGACAGGAGTGCCTGGAGTGCTCTGCTCCATGGGGCACGAAGAGTCAGACATGACTAAATGACTAAACAACAACAACGATCTGTCATTGAACTACCCCATTGAAGAAGGTAACAGGGGTTACCCAGACCTCATTACTGGTTGCAAATGGGCCCCCATGGCTGTTCAAGCTTCAGGGCCCCCAAACTGTAGGTCCGCTATTGATGATGCCTGATGTTACATGAGGCTCTGTACGATAATGATAAGTTGCTACTTTTTACCGCTGTTAAATGTATCCAAAATACGGCACTGAATCTCTGTGTAGTGAACCAGACCAATAACACTGTGAAAATATTCTCGCTGCATTTACACTTGTCAAAACAATGCAGCAACAGGCGTATACAGGCAACCTTAAGAGAGCTGGATGAGGATCTCTGTCTTTTCATTCATTGCTTTCCATATTTGTTCCTCTCCCCTGCAATTTTTTTTATTTTTTATTAGCTTGTTTCCTGGGTGTAATTTGGATCAGAATTTCCGGTCCACAAGAGTTTCTTAACTGCTGCTGAAATTGGAGGGTTATTTTTATTATTCAATTGCATTTTTCTCCCCCTTTCATTATGCATGTCTCAGTTAAAAGGTTATTATGTATTGGCACTCAGCTATGTTAACCCCATTATGTTCAAGCCATTTAAAATCATGAGCATCTATAATGCAGGACTTCAGGGAGAAAAGGGTGAGAAGCTTTATGCTGACGGGGTGGGTGAATACATTAGACAAATAAGCATCCCGTTCTGGAGCAATTGTTATGTACAAGGTGTGAACCACGATCTGTGGATCTCATTTGTTAGTAAATTGTTTTTCCGTAAAAATGAGCTGTTCTTTATCTTTTGCAGGATGCTCATTTGCAAAATGTCTAGACGATGCTGGTGTGGAGCAGGTCTCCTCTAAAGGATGACTCCTAAGCATTTTTTATAAAAGCAGCATAGCATGAAAGAGCAGTTCGCACACCACACAGCAATGTGCTCAGATTTCATCTCCAAATGTACCATCCATAGGTAGCCGCAGAAGACACGCAACAGCTTTGCACCAACTCAGACATTTGATCTATTTAGCCCACTTTGGTCAGCTTCAGCCTCCTCCAACCAGAGGTGGACGAAGGGGGGTACGGTGGATGCAGGCCGCCCCGGGTGTCCCCACTGAGGGGGGTGACAAAATGCCAGGCGGCACTCACCACAGGGCCTGCAGCGCACCCAAGCTACGCGTCTCTCCTGGGAGTGACGCAGTGGCTTGGGTCCCCACAAGCTCCGCACTGCCCCAAATGGTCTGCCCGCCACCTTCCCCTCAGCTGAAGGGTGGCTGAGAGAGCCATTGTGGTGTAGTGGTTAAGAGTGGTAGACTCGTAATCTGGTGAACCGGGTTCGCTTCCCCGCTCCTCCACATGCAGCTGCTGGGTGACCTTGGGCGAGTCACACTTCACCTCACAGAGTGTTTGTTGTGGGGGAGGAAGGGAAAGGAGTTTGTTAGTCACTTTGAGACTCCTTAGGGTAGTGATAAAGCGGGATATCAAATCCAAACTCTTCATCTCTTCTTCTGAGTGGAAGGAGGCAGGCAGACTCCTTGGAGGCCCCATGGAGTATCCTGCCCCTGCTTGGCTCGCCCCACCCCACTGGGCACAGGGCACATGCGCCGCCCCAGGCGCCCAAGCAGCTTGCTTCACCGCTGCCTCCAACCTAGTGGTCTAAAGCCCCATGCTTTAGACAGTGTATAAATGCTTGAAATAAAATCAAAACAGTACACTTTCTGCCTGCAAGCCGCGTGGAGATTGTGTGAGTGTGGACTCCCCCCATGCAGACCGAAGGTGCAAATAGGTGAATAAACTACATTTCTTAAAGCTACAATAGTCTCTGCCGTGTCTCAATTCTCCAAAGAAACACAGACCCTGAGTGAGCACCCGAAACCCCCTGGAATTTTGCTACCGCTCAGCATAGAGTGAAGGGTGGCACCCATCTTTTGTAACAGCCCCCTTACAGTCCCCAACCAGAACTCCTGCCTTCATTCCAGTGGGGAAGGAGGAATAAAGAACTACAAAAAAATGTTGAGTAATTTGGCACTAGTTTGGAGTGAATCAGGCAATGTTCGATTTTGGGGTGTTAACTGCGACCCCCAGTTTAATGTAGCAATTACTCGGGGGGGGGGGGGTTGGGGGCGGTACAAAACGCTGGGCTCACAGTACAAACCAGTGCAAAATGAGTACAAAACTTTGGCATTAGTTTGGAGGGGATTCCAAATTTCAGGATTTGTCTTTAATGCAGCTCATTCCTAGGGCAAGTAAGGCGCTTCACTGACTATTTGAAAATCTGCCACAAGGTGCTGTTACTTCTCTGAGGAAACCTCAGGGGTCAGAGCCTGGCTAGGGCTGAATCCTGTCACCTGGACTCCTCCAGCAGGTTCTCCTTGGAGTGGCTTGTTGCTGCTGTTGCTTTTAAACATATTGCATTCCCATATCCCAAAATCCCTGCAACATGCTGTGCTCTGTGCCCATCCTGTCCATCGCAATGACTAGCACCGTGCTAATGCCAAGTAGTGACCACAGCTCCACTGAGAACAACTGGAAATATTCTGAGCATAAAAATGCCACACTTGAATCGAGATTTTAGCCTCCCTCCTTCACCCCTAAACCAGCAAATTATACCATTTGGGCATAAGACTACATGAGCTGATTAATGAGTGGAAGTAAATTATTTTTTAAAAAAGAAGATGCAGTGGAACATCCAAACAGGGCTGAATGAGAAAATTGCAATGTTTCCCTAAGATCGCTTAGATCCAAAATACGCAATACTGCCTCTTTGGAACTACAGATTCCATCAGTTCGGGGTAAGGTATTTGTAGAAGTAACAAAAATACTGGGAAAACCTGGGAAGGAGAAGAATCTCCTGCAATAGCATTGTTAGTTATATTCAGTGAAGACAGCCAAGGGTTATTATAGAAGCTTTAAATCGGTTACTTATTAATGGCAGCAAAAAATATTGCAAGCCAGATACAGTCATACCTCGGGTTACAGACGCTTCAGGTTGCGTTTTTTCAGGTTATGGACCGCCGAAACCTGGAAGTACTGGAATGGGTTACTTCTGGGTTTTGGCAGTCACGCATGTGCAGAAGCGCTAAATTGCGCTTTGCACATGCGGAGAAGCACCGAATCACAACCCGCACATGCGCAGACACAGGTTGTGAAGACTGCGGTTTGTGAACATGCATCCTGCACAGATCACATTCGCAATCCGAGCGTCCACTGTATTGGAAAGAAGCAAAAAGTTTAAATGCACCAAAATGATATCAAGTAATTTGGGAGACAGCACTTTATGAAA